AATCAACCCTAGTAAATGCCAGACGTCTGAAGCATGTTGCATTTATTCACACTCACGAGGAATTAAATACATATTATGAGTGTGATTCTTTAATAACACACTAGGAAGCACAGAACCAGAGGACACGATGAAAAATAATGATGTTAAGAGTGTCCGACATCCATCACCTGTATTTCTTTCATCATCCTATTTATTTCGATGATATAATTCAGTTTTTTAAAAAATCCATAATACAGCTTAAGTAAACTCATTAATAAAATTAATCAGGATGATTCTATATTAACAAAGGGCCTTCTATTTATTAAACAGGTTTTTTTTTTTACAAAAACACACTTTTCGCTATTTTAACAATATCATTTATGTTGCTACTTTATTCAAACTTTAAGAGAGGCATGGGAAATATTAATCAAATGGGTAAGATATTAATAGTTAATTGAATCTTTGATCTTTTTTCTCTATGTAACAAATGGTTAAGGGCCTCTATGTCATGAGTGAGACAGACATAAGCAAAGGCAGGGATGGGTGAGCAACAGACGTGGCGAAAAAACGAACACGCTTCGGGGAAGTTACACGAAACGGAAACCCAGTTTTCAAAGCACAGGCGTTTAGGATGCGGATGATTTTAAAGCTTTTGTTTATTTAACCCGCCCCCCCACGCTGGATTCCGACTCGTTTTCATCATCAAAACATACAAACTTCATACGAAGATAAAATGCTATTGTTTATCGCCGAAACACCAAAAAATCATTTGCTATTACTTTAATAAAGGTATCAGGAACCGATATCAGATTTTGCAATTTATCGTGATAGTCTGTGGTTGAGGAAAATCCGTCCGTGGAATTTTTTAAAAAGCTATCAAATTTGAGGAAAATTCCAATTTCTAAGGGATAAAAAAGTAGGAAAATTTAATGCACTAGCTTACGTGACTATTCAGATGACGTTGAAGACTTAACTTTATTAAACACCAAGAATAACAGTTTATGGCATCAGACCCAGTGAAATACTTTTAATGGGAAAAAAAATAATAATGTGAAACAGAAAAGCAGCATCTCCACAATGTGGACCGTTCTTTAAAAGTCCAAAGATACTGATCTTCAATTAGGTTTATAGCCTCGTTTTAATTATCTAACCAAACGGAAGTTAATTATGGCAAACCAAACATTACATATCTATGGCACAATCTGATGCATAAAAATGGCATGTGGATAAAATCAGGTACAAAAAAATATCATATTTCCAGATCAGCTCGCCGACCTTGAATTAGGCAACTAAAAAGCACCTGGAGAGAAGTAAAAAAGCTGTATTTGGGGCTTTGTAGGTATTACATAAAATGGCAGGCCTCCCAGATTTTGAAAGTGAATTCAAACAGAGAGAAACAAAACGAAAAAACAGCTATTTTCGAGTTAACTAACATAGTGTGTAATTACATTATGGAAAACATCTTGTGGCATTAATAAAGCACTTATGTAAGTAATATTTGAATTCACTTTATCAAAAATATAATTATTTCTTAAAATAGCTTGATTTGAAATATATCGAAACACTTCACAAGTCTTGAAACATCTCATGCCTGGCCTCCCTGCATCTCCCCATCTGAAGGGACCCCAAAGTTTGATGATATTCAGGTGACATGATCTGGTACAGTCCGTAAACAGAAGTTTTTAACATATGGATAGATTTCAATACTGGCTTTTAAGGAGCGTCCCCCAGGAGGCTCCAGAGAGCATCTCCTGGGTACGCTGGGCCCCCACTCCTAAGAGCGGGCATCCAGAGTTAGCGCAGGGACCACAGAAGCCCTCCAGGGCCCTGCCTCAGCGTCATCACCATCCGCTTGTCTGATTTGTCAAGGCCCATTGGTAAGTATTTTTCAGTATTACCACTAAGGAGGCCTATTCTTCATTTGAAATATTTCTTTGTATTTTCCTATGGAGTTTTTGTATATTAAATATATGTAAGCCATCCACCTTTATCATTATACTTAATGTAGTTGGATTTTTTTTTTTTTAAAGTCTCTCCATTAGTGGATTTCTGGTACAAATATCTTCTGAGCAGCGAAGCAGCAAGTCAGAAGAATTCTGTATACTTAGGAAGAGCTGGGGCTCAGGGACAGTCTGTGAATGGCTCCGGGGGACGTGGCTGTAAGTGCTTCACCTGATTCATTCACCTGCCTTTCTGCTCTTATAGAGAGTCTTGACATGAATATCATGCTTTTTTTGAGATTATTCATTCAAAGTGTATAGGTCCCTATGAAGATTTCTGAATAAAGTAATATAAAATATGGTTAATTGCTTCAAAAAATAATCTCTGGAGGCATTAAGTTTGAATTAAAAGGCCTAAAAGTAGGCATGTTAATAAATAAGCCAGTCGAGTCAATTTAAAAAGGCTAAATTTTAAAGCAAGCAATGTGTATAAAAATACATAGCAAAATAAAAAACCGGTCTTTCTTTATTATGTTCAATATATTTTTTTCTATTCACTGGTTCATCAAATTCATGGGAGTGATTATTTGTGTGGCTCGACACTTTTTCAATATAGACTATTGAGAATTGTTATAATTCTTGAATTTTTTTATCATCGAAATTTTCTTTTCCATTTATTTATTCTTATGACTTATATGAAATGGAATTCATAACGGTGTGCATATGCTAGTAATTCGTCTATTGGGTTTGTAAAGTCTGCTTGATTTACGAGGTTTGAACTGTGATAGATCAGACTGCTTTGCTATTTGAATGACAGAATTCTAGAGAATTCAGCAGTTTTGGAAACATTGGTAAGCAGATTAATAGTAATTCTGGTCTTTAAAATGTATTTTCTAAAAATACACGTTCAATATTTTAAAAGTACCCAATCACTGAATCAAACTTATAGAGTGTGCATATAATTCAACAGCAATTAAATATATGATTTTATTTATATTAAACACATCTGAATTAGTAAGATTTCAGGTATCATGTGTGTGCCTTAGGATAAGAACAACTCAGGTGGTGTAATTTGGATCATAAAACGGCCTGTGATTTTAAAGCATTTAAAAAAGACTTTCCTGTTCTAAAACAAGAACATAATCCATAAAATTCTGGGGACCTAGGCCTCAGTGCTAAAGGACATCCTATAGCCTAAAATGTGGAAAGAGCTGATATAAAGTGTGTACTTACGTAAGTCAGTTTTTTATCACTCTAATAGAAGAAAACATTTCTCTTAACTCAAGTTAGGAAATTATTATACATTTTATATATCTTTATATAAAAAGTTACAAGTAGCAAGCATATGACACAAAGAGATGGAAGGGTAACAGTAGTATTCGAGAATGCATGCTTTTTACAATGTGTCTAATAAAAAGGATATTTTTCCAACTCAAATATCCAGAACGGACATGCAGTTACTTTCTCAAACTGTCAATTCAATCATATTGCTAAGTGCTTAACCGAAAAACATCTCTATCGAAGGGTATAAATGGTAAAATACCTGATTTCAAAAACTATTTCTGAAACTGGGTATTTTCCTTTGATAGGAAACAAAAACGGGTACCTAGGAAAACCCAAAAAAATGAGATTGTTCTTATTGCAATCTAGTACTTTTACTCGTCCCTTTTGGCTGCGCTTAATCACAATACGACGACAGGTGTTTTTAGAGTCCGTAAGACCTCTAGCTGGTGTTCCCACGGTCCACGTTTTCGCTTTTCACGGCAGCATGTTCCAAATCGCTCAGGAACGCACTAGTCTCAAGCAGTCTATATAATGAAAACAATGTACATGTAACACAAAGTTCATCCAAAACTGTGGTTTCTTTTTTTTTTTTCACATATCACACAATGTACAATTATATAACAGAGACGTAAAACGACATAGAAACAAAGTGAAACTGACATTAAAAAAAAAAAAAGTTGGGATAGTCTTAATCAGGAACTAATTTCTTCTTCAAGTTTCCAGTAAATCTCAAAATGTATTTAAATACTAAGGAGCACTTGGTGGCCAGCAACCAAATTACGAAATGAACACATCACTGTGCAGCGGGGGTGTCTTGCCGAAGAAATGACAAATGTCTGTAATTCTTAAGTTTGGATAAAGGCAGTGGAATGAATTTAGAAATATGTCCACTTTTCACAATTCACTATAGAATTTTCTTTTCACAGTCCCCATGTTTGTATAAACAGTTCTTCTCTGAAAATAAAACACAGTTAAAACATTTTCTCCCAGTGAAAAAGGCATACAAATACACCAATTTATCAAGGTAATAGAGAGCGTGGAAATGCATTCACCTAATTCGAGAATAGTTGATAGGTCTGAAGAGTGTTTAAGCGATTAGCTGTCAAGCGAATTTTATTGGAGACGAATTAGTCTAATAGAGACAGACTATCAAGTGCTGAAAGTGCAGCCATCGTGATATCCAGTGACACATTAGATGTACACAGAGACACGTGGTATTTATACACATTATCAAGCATTCAACGTAACATGCTGCATTTAATTCTGATGACATAACCTACATATGCATGCAAAAATAAGAGGGCACAAATTGTATGAGAACCACCAAACACGTAGTGTATGAGTCTGGAGTAAAATATTGCCAAATTAAATCAATCAGATTATTAGCAATTGTATATACTGATTTCAGTTATATTGAGATAATATTCGATTTTTTTTTTCATTATGAAAACCTTGGTTTTCTTCTGGTAGTACTTGGAAGAAGTCACTAATTTTTAGTATCTTTACCTTAAAACATGTAAAATTTAACTTGTCAATTGAACATCCTTTTGAATAACATCGTAGTACAATGCTTGATGGTAAAAATATTAACACTTATTTTAAAGATACATGTATTAAGAATCATTCTTCCACCAGCATTGAATCCATGATATTTTTCATTATGAAATGTTACGAAACATGTATCTCAGAAAGTGATGAATAAGTAGCTCATTCCCTAAAAAAAAAAAAACCGACCAGACAATTGCAACGAAACAAAACGGAACAGAATACAACAAAGCAGGAGAAGGAGCCAAGGGCGTTTGCTTACCTTGAACTTTCTTTTAGACCCTAGTTGTATTGTATTCGGATTCGTGTTTGCTTAGAGACCCAATGAGGCAGAACCTGGAATGTTACGGCTATTTCATTCAACAGATATTTGCACCAAAAATAAATATGCACACAATTCCTTAAAAGCATTCGTAAAAATTCCTAAAACTATGGAAATAGACTTTTGCCATCGGCATGCAGAAAATATTAAATCAACTAAAATATTTTAGGTTTCCAAGGGGTATGATGAATTGAGAAAGGACAGACATTTATAGAACAAACGGAATGCCAGGAAATATGCAAAACGAAACGTAAGTGGATTGGACTTGGGGATTTAAAATAATGATTTCCCTAAATTTAAATTTGCTTTCCTCAAAATTTTTACTAATTTGAGGGCTAATAATACAATACAGATCATACTGTCTTTATATTAAAAGGAAAATGAAGCAAATATTCCTACGAATCTTTGCTACATTTAAATATAAATATTTAGTATTTTAGCACACCATGCCATCCTATGCAATTCGTGATACAAGTACTATATGATATGTGCAAAAAAGTATTTTCATTTTCATACCAAAAATATAATACATTATATCGCAAAATATGCTATTTCTACATTAAAATTATTTTACAAGATGGGTTAACCACCTTGGTAAGGCAACGCTTTCCAATTATCATCTCGGATATTAAAAACTATAAATATTGATCGGGGCATCTGTAACCACATGGAAGCAAATTAGCCATGTAAATCTGCGAAATATATTAAAACCGTTAATTTTTATAGAAATAAATATTATCTATGCGCAGAGATAAATAACATATCTTCGGTCTGCGTGTGTCCACGCACACGTACACCTGTGGGATTTCGAGAGGACGGAAAAAGACGACCCAAAAAAAAAAAAAAAAAAGTTGAGACGTCATGGCTTAAACCGTTAACGAAAGGAGCGACGGGAACGGGGGAGACAACACGGAACATCCTGGAAGGCTTTCCGTCCTCAGGTTAGAGGTGTCATCAAAAAACCTACGGATACTGACCGCTGGACGGCTTTGTCGTGCCGGGACAGCCTGTGGCTCGTGGTGGGCACCTCCTCCACGTCGTCGATGTCGCAGGCCTCTGCGGCTTCTTGCGAGTAGCTGTGTTTCATGATGAGGATGCTTCTTCTGCCGGGGGCCGGGCCGAGGGGCTTGGCAGGCGCGGGCGGCAGCTCGGCCAGGACCGAGGCGTCTCGGCTGCTGAGGTTGCTGCGGCTGCCCCTGGTGCCCGACAGCTGCGAGCCACAGTGATGGTCGTGCACGCATTTGGAAGAGGACCTCCGCAGCGTGTGGAAATTCTCCAGGTCCTCGGCCACGTCGGCAAAGTCCGCCGTGACGCCCGCCCCTCTCAGAGTGCACAGCTCATAGTGCGGAGGCTCAGACACCTCCTGGAAAACTGTCTGGTCAAAGTCCGACTTCCTCTGGACATATTTTTTACGAGGCTGTTTGATCTGCACAATGACAGAAACGATTATAAGGACGATCACCACGCAGGAGGTCACGCCGATGACAGCCCCGCTGGTGTTGGTCAGCTGGTCCAGGAGACTGGCTTTCCTCTTTTCTGCAGGTCGAGGAGAGTGAAAACAACGAGGAAGACAAGACACAACCCGCCAGGCGTCAATATGGGACAGGCGCAAACGCAGAACTTTAAGACCAATAGGCTGAGCGCAGAATTCTTACAGGCTTAGAGCAACATAAACGAATTTTTCTAAATCAACGACCACGCTCACTATTCACAAGGAGCCTATGTTCTAGCCTTAGCCACAGCCCTCCCTGCTTTAAATGTGAAGAAATGTTTGCAGAAAGTCTTATGAGGCCTCCTGAATGGCATTTGGGAATGATCTCTGAGTTCGAAAGCAGTTGATTCCCCTTGGTCTCCCCGCCCCCTCTGCTGGGACACGGCCTGCGTTGTCCTGAACTTATTTAGCCCTGACATGGAGAACTGGAGCCGAAGCCAGAACCATCCCCTGAACCCAAAAGGTAATTAAACTTCCAGACAGCCATTCTGGGATGGCAGCATGACGCCGTCCATGGCCTTTTCCCAAATAAAACGAGTCTAACTGGTCACGATGTTTAAAAAACCCCAACAGTTTAAAGCCTGGGAAATTGTCCTAATGGCATACAGCAAAGGGAGGTACAGTTATTCCAAAATATCTCCTACGTTTCTTTAAGAACAGTGAGAGTCTATGGCATTTAAGCTCCCGCCACCCCCATTTCATCCTGACAAGAGCTGGACTCAGGGGCACTTCCGATGACACCCGGCTTCCTCTCCCTAGGGTGCCCAGCCTGCAGCTACAGGGAGGGCAAGCTGCCAGCATCCCTCACCCCTCCCCATCCGCCCTGCAGACGCTCAGTTCCAGGCAGTCTCAGCAACAACAGGAATGAACAGTGCTGTGTTGAGTCTTCACAAAGTACTTAATTTCCCACCCAGTCCAAAGTGATCCCTTAGACACGAAACAGCAGTGCTCACATCCCGCCCGCGAATATTTCAGACCAGATCTGCCTCTCTTACTGCACGTACGAACCGTGGCTGCCGTGCCTTGCCTCTCTGCTCCTATCCACAGAAGGCATTTTAATAGATAATACTGGACTTTGAGCATGAGTGATCTCCTCGTTTCTTTCCCCTTGCAAATTGGTTAATATTAAATCCGAATAAGAATTATCCGGTTTAACTAAAACATGCAACGTGTATAACCAAGCCAAGGATTGCTGTCAACAGAAACACACTCTTGTGCACAGGCTAGAGGAGGGAGCAGGGCTTTGGGGAGCTATTTTCATTGGAAAGGAAGAAAATAATTTGGGTACCACATTGGAGTTGAGTTTAAGCGGCCGAAAGTACTTAAAAGCATAAATGTTCCTTCAATACACCTCCTCTCTAGAGCATGCACGCCATGTTCAATGATGACGAAATGGAATTATGACAGGTGTCACCACAGACTCAGGGGCACCAAGTCAGAGAGGGAACAACGCACTGGCTAAAAACTCTCATTTCCTTTCCATGGCCCCGTGGGGTCTAACACGGAGGTGCCGTCAGTGAGCGTTCAAGGGTTAAGGATGGTCCACTGAGCATTAACAAATGAGAATGAGGGATGGCAAAGGAAAAGGCTGACCAATCCATTACAAACGCACGCAGAGTTCATAAACGCCACTCTCCACTCCATTTTTAAGACCGCCTGATACATATAAGCGTTGGCACGAAGGTCCTCCCCACCTCCAGGCGGGGGGTTCTGCGAAGGTCAAGGACGGATCACGCATTACCTTTACAATGGTTTTCATCCCAAGGATACACACAGTTCTGGAGTCCATTGCACACCAGTGTGTTGTTGATACACATGTTACTGTGGCAGAAGAATGTGTTCCCTTCACAGGGAGCTACAGGCAAAAAGAAAAAGGAGAGAGAAGTTAAACCCGACACTCGGCAGCAAACCGTTCACGTCACAAACGCAAGGCAAGGTGATGGCGGCCACCGTGCACCGTCAAGCCGAGATTAACGATACGACTTTGCATTCTCAGACATGTCGGCGTGGCGGTCGCTACTTCTTGTGTGTCTAACAGAGCTGGTGTTCCTCTGGAGGTGCGTGGCTTATCAAACGAGCATGGGAATTTTCCCTCATAAAAACAAAGTACATTATCCATAGTTTTTTTTTTTAACTTGGTGCGTTCGTCTAGCAAAACTTAAGTGCCTACCATGTGCATATCGTTATGCTTTCCATTCTGTATGTATAAATTTAGATGTGCTGTGCGAAAAGACTTAGTTGAAACATTGAAATACTTTTGAAAAGTTTATGCTTGCAAGATACAAATGAAGAAGGTATACATTAAACGAAACCCTGTAACATTACTTAAGCATATGAAAAAACAAAACAAAACAATGTCACGGAAATTCAGGACAGGAGAAAATTAATCCTGATCAACATAAGAAAAATATATGTTATTCCCATCAATATTAAATAGACATATGATGATGAGAGAGCCTCCCTTGGTGCATTTCACACATTCTGGTAACTTTAGGTACCAGCGTCCATGACCTCCAGATCATAATGCACAGTGATGGCGCTGGGAGGTCACACAGAACTCCAAGGAGGTGAACAATTTGGCTACATATACATAAGAAATAGTAAAGAGTTAAATACAGCAGAGTAAAAGGTGAGATATGTCTTCAATATTAGGAAAAATGCACTTCTTTCATCATTAGAGAAATGGGGTATTTTGAATAATCAGGTCTCTAGAGTAACAGTGCCTTACGGATTATAGTATATAGATAGTGTAAAGGTAAAAACATCCCACGTAGCCCATAAAAATGCAATTTTAATGTTTATCTTCTTCGATAATAGTTTTGTGACCCTGGTAAGAACAGGCACTGTAGGAAAACATTAGATGCAACTCGAAATTTACCGTGGTTAATCAATCAGTAAAGGTTTATCAATGATCAGTGTTATCTGAACACTGCAGACACGTTACGATGGATTTTTCACGTTCCGAGCTACACGTTGCAGGTATTTTCGAAAGTTACCACAATCTTTAAATATCCAGCTGACCTTTGAACAGCATGGGTTCGACCTGCATGGGTCCACTTATACACGGATTTTTTTTTTTTTCAATAAAAACTGAAAATGTATTTCTTCTTCCTTACGATTCTCTTTTCTCCAGGTTACTTTACTGTAAGAATGTAGTATGTATACACATAACATACAAAACATGTGCTAATCAACTGTTTATGTTACGGACGAGGCTCCCATCCAACAGTGGGCTATACGAGTAAGTTCAGTTTGGGGAAAGTCGAAATTACACAGGGGGAGATGGTTGGTGTCCTGAAGCCCTGCCTTGTTCAAGGGTCACCTGTTTTTGCCATAGTAATCACAATTTTCAGGAAAATTCTTTGCATACGACAACTCAGACCATCTTAGAGGAATCCTTAAAAATAAAAATAAAAAACACTCAAGTCTCAAAAAATCAAATAGTATGGCAGATACAGCCAGCTCAAGCAAAGTGAATCCTTCTGGTTCTCTGTGCCCTTCCCCCTCCCTGCACCTTCTAGAAGAATGAAGTTACTTCTTGCCTCTGTTTGGTTTGGCTTTAGGTCCCTGGTTAAAGAGTAAAAAAGATGTAACAGTCATTTTCTGCGGGGGGCGGTGGGGGGGAGGATTAAGGACTAGAAAATGTGCAGTAGTCATTTTGAAAAAAGTCTTCTGCTTAACATTTTATCGGGCTAGTGACTCGTTAAGCACCATATAAACCTTTTATAAAGTAAAATGTAATGACCCAATATATTGTTGCAAAAATCTGCTTTTTCGTAAGAAACTGAGTTGAATTTCTGTAGTCAAGCATAATGGCTTTTGCAGAACTGATATGGTCTGTTTAGCAGATAATGAGTGTTGTCAAAATGTGTACGCAGAACAAAAAGTAGCTTTCTTCTCATAGATTAGAGTGGCTGCAAAATGCTCTAATAAAAAATGCAAAAGACACATTACCTAATAAATTGCAGTGGTTTTGAAAGTACAGTTATCCATCAAGTAAAGAATACCTTTAAAAGCGCACAAATATCTATTGACCTTCCAGAATGAGTGGGAAAAAATGATTATAATTATTCTTAATAGGACTGGTTAGTTTTTAAAAATTAACACATGCATACACATGGCTTTGCACCCCATCATTGCGTGAAAAACAATAGGCTGTTGCTAAGAGCCTGAGATTTGAATTCCAAATTCTCCAAATGTGATTTTTGTTTCAGTTTCTGCTGCTTAGTAGGTGTGAAAATGCCTCATAAACTTCCGATCAATGTCCAAGCATCAGTTATCATTAAATATTGATGGCTACACTCAGAATGTAACAGGTAGGCCAGGGAGATCAAGAAATCACATTCCTAGTATAGTTCTTTACAGAAATAATTATCAAACCTGCCAGTTAATCGGAATCATCCTCTATTTTTAAAATGATTATTCCAGCCACTATTCCACCCCGTCCCCCTTACCTTTGCCAACAGATACAGAATTGGTATAAATACAAAAACAACAAAACAAACAAGCACATCTTGCGATGGCTAAGAAACAAATGTATAAAAACTTACACTCCTTGAACAAAAATCAATTTTGTTTCATAGATACCAACATAAAATATATTAGATTCCGAATTTTCTCGATATTGTACGTCTGAATATTTCTCTCCTATAATTGCAGATATGCAGTGGTTTATGAAAGAATCTCATTTCTAGCTCCTGCTACAAAAATGAAATGGCACCTTTCCGCCTCCCAAACCGAGCAAAGTTCTCACTGCTCTTTCGAGGACGTTGGGGTTCGCTCTGCACATGTTCCGCGTTTCCCACACTCCCAGCACGGTCGGTCCCCGTGTCTGTGGCTCTGTGGCCACACTGCATGCCCCTCCCCCATCTGCCCCTGAACCCCCCCTTCTCCACTGGGCTATCCAGATCACATCAGAACTGCATGATCAATGCAGCTTTGAAATATTCCAATCTAACAGACGATTATCTTTTTCCTGAATCCCGTTTTAATTTAAAAAAGAGTTTAGCGTGCAGTATATGTTACCTTTCCCGATGAGTTCTTAGAGGCATGACTTCTTAAAATGCGTATTTTTACATCTCTTATGTGGCTTAACTCTTCTAGGTTTGCAGTACACATTCAACGGATATTTTTAATTGATTAATCCTTACTGAGCAGAAGTTTAACTCTGGCAAGGCTGCCTATCTGAATGCAGGAGACTGACAGGGCATGTTTATTGGTGGAAAATTAACCTTCAGCGCCATGGGTTTCGAATACAACGGAAACTGCGATCTTCTCAGAAACTAAACCTCAGCATCGTTCCTTTGCTCTCTTACTGTTGCTGAAAAAGCATATATCCTGCCAATTGGTGGAGGACTTATTCTACTTAGAAATTCGATGTACACATATCAAAAGCTATTGCCTCTTAAAAACCAGCCGCTGTATGTACTAAAGTTATCTGGGAAAAAGCTCGACGTGAGGGTTTCCTTATAATAAAGTGGCAGCTCAGGGAGCACTATTTCAAATTCGGAGCACCCCGCCCAGGCTGTCTTCACCATCATTGCTTTCTCTGGGTTCTATTTTTAAATCCTCACATGTCCCTGTTCTTACCGCCAGGTGGCAGCATGCACCGTACTTTGGTGAAATAGCCTTTCAATCCCTTATGATGCTTCAACCATGAATGCATCTGGAATAAACAACATTTGTATGGATACAGCCTTGATTCTCACGAAATAAAAACTTCAGCGCGAGAGAACCAAAGGAACCTTGAGCAAGTTCGAATTAGGTGAGGGCGGACGAGAGAAAGAACGGCAGCCGCATCGCTCAGCACAGCGGACGGCTTATTTGTAATTTCAATAAAGAATCATAAAACGCATGCTTCGAGGTGACAGGTCTAACCATGATGGATCAGCATTTTTCAGCGTTGCGCTGCATGTTTATAAATACTGTTCCGATTCGTAACGGAAGGGTTTTAACTTATAATTGCCGTCTGAATACGAAGGCTCCTAATGCTCATTCTAATTCTTAGAGTTCCTTCTTTCCTCTCTCTTATATCTTTCTAACTTCGGAAACCCAGTGAGTACTATTCAGAAAATAGTAAAACCAAATAGAAATTAAAATGGCAGATTTCTCTCCGAAATACCGATCTTTGAAATACCTGTGCTTTGTGGTTAATAAAACTATCTATCACTGGCAGATTAGTGCAAAGTCAAAAAACGTCCTACTTCCCCGAGAAAATTTGGAAATAGAAATGATGTCTGATCCTATCTCCCTTTAAAATCATTACATGGTCTAAACAACAGCTCGGGACTTAAGGTCAGATGCTCCCCCACCCCCCGCCTCCAGCCTCCCAGCCCCCAACCTGAATCATCTCTCCACGCACATCCTCCTGGCTTCCTACTTTCCTCAAAACCTTTCCTTCTAATTTCTTTAATTTTCATTTGTCAAAAGTTCACTCCCCCACCCCCCACAGTCTGCTGGCCTGTGTGTGCGCAGCTTCACACACACACACACACACACACACACACACACACACACACATCTTGGATCTCCTATTTTCGTTCTTTTATTCCTATATCCCCAATTTGAAATTGGGATGGAAATGGTCACAGAAATGTGTGGAGAAGCAGCAAGACGAGAAAATAGCTTGGAGGACATTTCCACGTCCTCCCTTCATTTCCCAAATTCGACTTTTATCAGCTTCGAAGACATTGATTTATTAAAACTTTCTGGTGCTCAAGGTGCTTTGGTCCATCACTTTCTCTGCCTGAGAGATGGGAGCAAAGCTTGAAATTATTTTAAATATGCATAGCTTGCTGCTAAGGATCGTTTTTTAGTAGTGGTATTCTAATTACGGAAAAAGAAAATGCGAATAAA